AATTTCATATGGGTACAGTGTTGCACGACCACGCAATTGTCATTCAAAGTATGAGAGAGCTGAAAGCTGAAAATTGGCCTGGGCAGGAAGGGGGTAAAAGTGCCCGGTATTGATGTGGTTAAACAACAAAAATTTATATACTAAAATAAATAATGTTCCCCTTTCTTATCTTTTGTTGTATCTTACTACTGGTGATCTCCTGAAGTCTCTTCCTGTCTACATGCATGCATGTTGGATTAATTTAATTTTTGCACATATGTTTTTAGTTTGTTGCAATTTTGAGTGGACATTTTTGTTATTTTATTACCACTGGCACATTTGTATGAACATGTATGTAAGTTACATGACTCATGCTGGGTTTTCTGTTCGTGACAACAGTATACCATGCCTGTATAATGTGTGTAGAAATGGTCAGAATGGTTAGAAATGTGTAATCTCTGTCAGAAGTCTATGTGATTGGGTGACAAAAGCAAGAGAGCAACTGAGAAAGAGTTTGTAACCCTATAACAGGAAGTGAACAAGAGTCTTAATGTTAGGATCACCAAGTATTTTTTTTTAGCACTACCCCTGTAAAAGCTTCTGACTTTAACTGGTTCTTTCCCAGGCAGTGCAGAGGCCGCCAGTCACACAAGCAACAGTCCACTCACATTGGTTCCATGAAACAGTCTAGGGGAAGTCTTTTTAAAGTTTATTTGCTTGTAGAACGTGCAACAAGAGAGGAATTGGGGTGGTATGGGTAATAGTGAATTAATAGTGAATTACAACAGGAGAACACACTTGACTAAGTGAAATGTCCGCAAACAGTTTTTAAACAAGAAACAAAGGGGAAATCCAGATTGTAGAAGCAGTCTCAGAATGAGCTACAGCTGACACCCAAGAAGTAGGACAGCTCACATTCACTAAATCTTGAGCTTGAGCCAGCACTCACAATGCCCCCAGACAGCTGCACACCTCCCGGCTTTCACCAGGCACTCCTCAGTACATTCTCTGCCACAGCTGGGACCTCAATGAACATTAGCATTCTCCAGCAGGACTGCCCCTAAGGATGGAAAGTTCGCCAGCAGGACAAGACCGAGCTGCTCCAAGCCCCACACTATTTAAGTGCTCCTCCAGCCACTTAGTGTACACACCTCCCCAGGGATTGGCTGAACCACAATAAATATTCAGGATGTCTATCTGACTTTCTCAGCCCTTTATGTTCTGGAAGCCTCCAGAATGCAGGGGAAAGTAATTAAATCTGCAGCCTGTGAAATCTAGAACAGCCCAAAGAAATCAATGAATACTGAGGAGCCACAAACTAAATGTATCTAACATCCTATACTAGGAGGATGCTGCATTTTAATAATATGCTGCAGATATAAAATGATTGAAAACTACTCTGAATTACATCAAAGCTGGATCCTGGGCAACAGAAAGGAATGTGGGCATTGCCAGATGTACCCTTCCACTTTGTAACACTGGACCATGGATGAAATTAGATATAACTGGATCATGGAAACCTAATTAAAAAAATTAGATTTGCTGAAAGTGAGAGAATGGTTAAACACTTCCGATTTTTCCCATATACTGAATTCGGCTTAAAAAAATTGCATTTTACTATTCATTTTTTTCTTCAGCATACTAGTGATCATGATCAACATTGTTTAATTTCTTGCCAGTAAAAAACAGGACTATAAATGTGGCAGCCACCTCATTTTATTTCCAACGCAGACTTTGTTGACTAGCTGAAAGAATCAAATAAAATAAAATGGTATTTGTTCCTCAATACTTGACCTTTTAAAGATCCCGGTAGATTTTTGAAGTAAAACTTTCAAAGATTACTTTGTTTGAAATGGAGCATTCTCACAGAATAAAACATGTTGGCAGTAATATTGCAAATATGAACATGTACACAGCGCAGCATCACTCCTGACAGAGATAATTACTTTGGCTGCATGACCCAGTCTACCAGAATGAGGGCATATCACTGTTGTTGGGTACACGCCAGCGATAGAAGATGATGCTGTCTTGCTAGACACCTACGTGCATATTGCTTGGTTAATAATGCCCTCAAGAGACGCACCTTAATATAACCTATTTGGCACTTGCTGTCAATCACCATAATGTGATTTCACTGGAAAGCCAGCCTATGCACTGCAGGAGAGGCCTGAAGCACATTGCATGAGCCCAATCATTTATCACATACAATTGTAAAATACGCTTTTGTCTACCTTGGAGGCATCTAAACTGCATGTAGAAGGTCTGCTTTGATTCTTCACAGTTCCTACTATACACAGATACAAACATAAGCATATAAATTCCACAGCTAGATAAACATCCTTTTCTTCTTAAAACAAACCTGTGCAATTGCCATACTGGGCAAAGTAGTAAGTTGTTTTATGCCCCCTCCCTGAGCAGAACATACTCACATTTCCTTCACTCCCATGCAAATCTGTTCAGCCCCTGGGAAAAAGAAAATAACCCATTCTTCTGGGTATTGAGGAGCATATGACTCAATCCTATTCCTCTCATGTGATAGTGCTGGTGCTTAGTGATTGGACCAGCACCCAAGTGAAATGACCCTATCCACTACAAACTTTAAAGCCCAACTCCAGAAATACTAGGCTCTAAATAGTTTGCTTGGATCAAGCTGTCCCAAACAAATTAATCTCTTTACTAAATGATGCTGTGGCTGTCAACGCTGTATAAATTGTATGTAGCATCAGATACATACATTATACATCACTGTTTTGTGGCAGAGATATGGAGAGTTCTCTACCCATTTCTGAACATAACTGAGCTGGAATGAGCACTACTCAGCCATTTTCAGAAATAAATGTATTTTTATGAATGAATACATGGTTTCCTTCGATTGATTGAGGTGGAGATCATTACTTCATCATTACTTCAAGTCTTTTATTATTTCATAAAAGTATAGGGCCTCCTATGACTGGTTAAGGAGACTTCTGCTCATCTCGATTTTGTCTTGGGATCAGGATGGAAGTTTCCACCACTGGAACACAACTCTTGTATACTGTATGTAGCTAATGCCCATACAGTTTATAGAGTGCTAACAACCACTGTATGAGTTAATAAAGGAAAACCTTTGTTTGGGTCAGCTTGGTCATAGTATTCCAAGTTGTTAAAGTGGTTTTAAAGGCACAAGGTTTTTTACCTTCATGCATTCTAAAAAATGTGCAGCAGTCCCCCCCCAGCCCCCCTAATACTTACCTGAGCTGCATCGTAATCCAGTGATGAGCACAAGAGCCTCGGCTCTCTGGGGACTCTCACTCTTCATTGGCTGAGACATCATCAGGATGAGCCAGTTTCAATCACACAGCCAGTGAGCCAATGAGGAGAGAGAGGGGGTGGGGCCAAGCCATGTGTGTGAATAGCCATGCAGAGCAGCAGCTCGAAAGAAAGCCTGCTTGGGTGCCCACATAGCAAGCTGCTTGCTCTGGGGGCACTCAGCAGGAGGGAGAGCCAAGAGCACCAGCGAGGGACCTGAGAAGAGGAGGATCAGGGCTGCTTTGTGCAAAACCTTTTTACAGAGCTGGGAAGTATTACATGTTTGTTATTTTTTTTTAAATTATCTTTGAAATCACTTTAAGCAACCCATACATTAATCATTTTTTTTTTGTTCAACCAAATTAAAATAATGATCTCATTCACTCATCCACACATTTGAGGTGCGTGGGGGAATCACTCCTGCTGTTCTTTTGTGTTCTGATAGTGGGGAGACTTCCCCACCATCAGAATGCAATTATCAGTGCTGCCAGCTATAGCTGGTGGCACTGGTTGATCAGGAGAATCCCGACAGGCTGGTTGTACTGAAGTCAATCAAAATTCGGCCGGTCCCTGATGAACAGGCTAAATTTAAATTTATGTATGGTTGACTTTACACTTTAAAAGTGTCCTTAGAATGACATAATCTGGGAAAAAACAGAAAGTTAAGTCCTACTGAGATGAGAATATAGATCTCTGTGTGCTTTATTGTAATGTGGGAAATGTGAATGTATGACATATGCTCTCTCTGGGGATGCTAGAGACAATTAACTTTGTAATATGTTACATTCTGGATAAAGCATAAGGAATTGCACACTACTATCATAAATCAGACAGTGTCCCCATATTTGCAGATACTGTAGCATACATGCATTTATAAACTCTCTAGAGAGAAAGGCAGAGGGAGGAAGAGGCATCAAAGACCTCTTCATTATATTATTCCATTTCACTCGGCTTTTTATTACTGCCTTAGCTGATTTCCCTTTAAGATACTACCTTGCTCCATATTGCCAATTTAACACTTCTTTTGGACACATTTGAACAGGAAAGTAGTATGGAAGTAAAAAAAATAGGGTGACAGTAATGCAGAACTGTACACTAAACAAAATACATAATGCACAGAATTTTAAACTATACAGAATTAAAGTAGTGTTAGACCCTCAGTGTTTGTTAGCTTAACACATTGATCAAAACAAAATAAATATTCGCTAGTAAACAATTTGTCAATGTTCTTATCCAGGCACTTGAAGTTAACTCTCTTTGCTGTTAGCGTATATTCTCTCTTAATGCTGCTTCCCTGAACTTCTGGTTTTCTCAGGTAGGAGTTATAGTGGAACTTAACTGTAACTGAGCGTCAGAAACTAAAAACACTATTTAATTAATTTTTATTATTCAAAGCAAACTCATAAAAAAACTATTTTGCCCTCCTTCAGATGAAAACAAAATGCCAATGAAGACATCTGGGATGTATCAAATTCTTTTTGCTTAGGCCAGAAAACAGAAAGCAATTAAAGAAATGTAAAAAGAAAAAAGTTTAAAGTGTTACTAAACCCACAACAGTAAAATCAGCCTGTATACTGTATGCAGTAAAGCATGCTTGTTATACTTACTGTGGAACCTAAGGGGTTAATCCTCTGCATTGTTTAAAATAGCTGTTTGATCCTTTCTTCTCTGTTCCTCCCTGTTTCAAGCGACCACCACTTATCTCCAGACTGAACCATAGGCGTGCACATGCTTACCGTATTTTTTCGCTCCATAAGACGCACCTGACCATAAGTACGCACCTAGGTTTTAGAGGCAGAAAACTGGAAAAAAAATATTCTGAACCAATGGACTGCAGACATAGTACAGAAAATGACCAGAGACTGAAGACACAGTAAAGGAGATGACCAGAGACTGCGGACATAGTACAGTAGTACAGGAGGTGACCAGAGACTGCGGACATAGTACAGGAGATGACAAGAGACTGCGGACACAGTACAGGGGATGACCAGAGACTGCGGACACAGTACAGGGGATGACCAGAGACTGCGGACACAGTACAGGGGATGACCAGAGACTGCGGACACAGTACAGGGGATGACCAGAGACTGCGGACACAGTACAGGGGATGACCAGAGACTGCGGACACAGTACAGGGGATGACCAGAGACTGCGGACACAGTACAGGAGATGACCAGAGACTGCGGACACAGTACAGGGGATGACCAGAGACTGCGGACACAGTACAAGGGATGACCAGAGACTGCGGACACAGTACAGGGGATGACCAGAGACTGCGGACACAGTACAGGGGATGACCAGAGACTGCGGACACAGTACAGGGGATGACCAGAGACTGCGGACACAGTACAGGGGATGACCAGAGACTGCGGACACAGTACAGGGGATGACCAGAGACTGCGGACACAGTACAGGGGATGACCAGAGACTGCGGACACAGTACAGGGGATGACCAGAGACTGCGGACACAGTACAAGGGATGACCAGAGACTGCGGACACAGTACAGGGGATGACCAGAGACTGCGGACACAGTACAGGGGATGACCAGGGACTGCGGACACAGTACAGGGGATGACCAGAGACTGCGGACACAGTACAGGGGATGACCAGAGACTGCGGACACAGTACAGGGGATGACCAGAGACTGCGGACACAGTACAGGGGATGACCAGAGACTGCGGACACAGTACAGGAGATGACCAGAGACTGCGGACACAGTACAGGGGATGACCAGAGACTGCGGACACAGTACAAGGGATGACCAGAGACTGCGGACACAGTACAGGGGATGACCAGAGACTGCGGACACAGTACAGGGGATGACCAGAGACTGCGGACACAGTACAGGGGATGACCAGAGACTGCGGACACAGTACAGGGGATGACCAGAGACTGCGGACACAGTACAGGGGATGACCAGAGACTGCGGACACAGTACAAGGGATGACCAGAGACTGCGGACACAGTACAGGGGATGACCAGAGACTGCGGCACAGTACAGGGGATGACCAGGACTGCGGACACAGTACAGGGGATGACCAGAGACTGCGGACACAGTACAGGGGATGACCAAGAGACTGCGGACACAGTACAGGGGATGACCAGGGACTGCGGACACAGTACAGGGGATGACCAGAGACTGCGGACACAGTACAGGGGATGACCAAGAGACTGCGGACACAGTACAGGAGATGACCAGAGACTGCGGACACAGTACAGGGGATGACCAGAGACTGCGGACACAGTACAGGAGATGACCAGAGACTGCGGACACAGTACAGGAGATGACCAGAGACTGCGGACACAGTACAGGAGATGACCATAGACTGTGGACACAGTACAGGGGATGACCAGAGACTGCGGACACAGTACAGGGGATGACCAAGAGACTGCGGACACAGTACAGGAGATGACCAGAGACTGCGGACATACTACAGGGGATGACCAAGAGACTGCGGACACAGTACAGGAGATGACCAGAGACTGTGGACACAGTACAGGAGATGACCAGAGACTGCGGACACAGTACAGGAGATAACCATAGACTGTGGACACAGTACAGGGGATGACCAGAGACTGCGGACACAGTACAGGGGATGACCAGAGACTGCGGACACAGTACAGCCAGCAAATATGGAGGGGATGACCAAGAGACTGCGGACACAGTACAGGAGATGACCAGAGACTGCGGACACAGTACAGGGGATGACCAGAGACTGCGGACACAGTACAGGGGATGACCAGAGACTGCGGACATACTACATCATATAAAGTCCCAACAGGGCCCCTCCACCCAGAATATCAAATAATATGACACCATACATCAAGGAAAAGGACTACAACTCCCAGCATCTGTCATTTTAACTTACAGAAGGCAGGCTATAGAAGGCAGGGGGCGCACTGAGCTCCGAGGACAGGCCACACCAGCAGATAGGACCGGACTGTAGAGCAGGGAGCACACTATGGACACATGCCAGGAAAGGGGAGGCGCTGTAAGGACAGGCCACACCCGCAGACCGGACTGCAGAGCTGGGAGCTCAGTACATAGACATGCCAGGAGCCGGGAGGAGCTCCGAGGACAGGCCACGCCTGAAGGGCGGACCGGACTGCAGAGCAAGCTGGCTGGGTTCGGCGAGGGGACTGCCTGCTATGAAGAGCTGCGGGGACAGCCCGCTGAGAGAGGGCAGGGTGAACTTCGGTGACAGCCTGCAGGGGGAGGGGACAGGCTGCAGTGGGATGGGACAGCCACTGGCACTAACACGGCGGCGGTGACAGGTGGAGGACTGGTCAGTATTCGCTCCATAAGACGCAGAGACATTTTCCCCCATATTTTTTTGGGAAAAAAGTGCGTCTTATGGAGTGAAAAATACGGTAGTTTGGTGTGCATTGCTAGAGAGGTTTTATTTCTTTCTTGGGATAGTGCATGTGATCAGCACAGGGCCAATCAGCACTGTCCAGACAGAGGTCAGGGGATTTGTATCCTCCAAGAGCAGAAAGAAAACTCCTGCTACAAGCTTTAACTAGTGTTGGGCTGGATACATCACATAGATAGAAGTCACAAGACTGCCCTAACTTCTGATGAGAAAAGGTATTTAGCAGTTTATATTTACTAAAATAATTGCACTTCCATGTTCTGTGTACTGTGGGAGACCAGATATAGTGAGTGCAGGGTCCGGGGTTCAGTAACACTTTAATATCGGTTGGGAAAGTGAAGTTCTGCTTTAACAGTGGACAGTGCAGTCTACAGTCAGTCTGTTAATTTGAAGAAGGTAGAGGGGAGGATGAGTGAGGAACAGAAGAGTGTCTTGCCATGGAATTGTGCGCTTCTATTAATGCCCATAGTGTAGGGAAACAAAAAGCCAGTCCCCGCATAAGCGGCTCCATAGGATGCAGCAAAAGAAAGGAGCCATCCTGAAACAAGATTCCTGGGGCAGAGATCAATGCGTGAGAATTAACTGGAACATAGGAAAGGAATAAAAGATTAAGAATCTTTGATGAAGAAGGTAAAGGTGCTGTGTTCAGTTCAGTATCAGACAGAAGCATACACAGCTGGTGGCTCTGCAAGTGCCATGCTCCAGCCCCTTCTGGACAATCAGATTGGCTACAAGAACATGCAGAATGGGGAAAACCTTCCTTTAGTACTGGAGAAGGCTCTGAAGCTTGTCAAAGATGTATTTATTTCTGCAGCTGAGAGAGATGTGTATACAGGAGATGCACTGAAAAATTCCATTGTCACCAATGATGGCATAAGAGAGGAGTCAATTCTTCTGAGAAAACATTAGATTGTGTCTTTTTAATAAGTCATTTAAACTTGTGCTCTTGAATGTTTTATTTTTAAAAAAGAAAATGAAACAAACACTTGAAAATTATAAATAAATGATGAAGAATCTACAGCTGAAGAAAATGCATAATTACTAAGTGCCAAAACCAGTTGCCAAAAGTGTTTAAAAATAACTGAGGGTTTGATATCTGTAGCACTACCCCCGTAGGAGTCGCTCTGCACAGCCAGGCACACACATTTTCTTCCACACATTGCACTAAGTGTCAGTAAACAGTCCTTGAGTTTGGTTTTGGGATTTTATTAAAAGGGGTTAACATCTTGGATGGGGTTGAAGTGTGTATGGGATACCCAAGGAAGCAAACTAAAGGACAAACTCATAGCTCAATAGGTTGGTGGCTGCCTTCAAGCCTTTCACTGGGCTGGCCCCTTCCCTGCTGCTCAGGATATCCTCCTTTGGAGACGGTGGTACAGTGCTTGTAGGTAGGCCCCTTCCCTGGGTCCCCTTCCAGGCTCCACACTCCAGGCTCTCACTCAATCTTCCACCCACCATACTCTGCTCCTGCAACACAGGCTCTGCGACACCTAAGGGTTGCCTTGGTCACCATGCCCAGCCCTCTGCCAGGGGATTGGCCAAGGTCCCTCAATTATGCAGATCCAAGCTTCCTCCTCTCCCTCATCCCTCCTCCAGAAAGCTCTCAGGTTTCTGGAGAGGTAGGAGGGCTCCAGAAACTCTAACCTTCAGAACCTCTCCAGCTTGTCCTGAGGTATCCTCTCTACCTCACTCCCAGGCTGACTCATCCCAGGCTGCTACTCGGCCTCTGCCTAAAAAAATTAACCAACAAACTCTGTCTGGCTAAGCTAGAGGGCATTACATATCATTTTAGGGTTATCTCATACTGCAAATGACTGAAAGCTAATACACTATTTTATACTTCTATACTAAAAAAATTATTATATTAGGGAGTACCAGACTCTACAACACTTTGATCTAGACTTTACCTAATTCTTCTAAAAAAATAATCTTTTCTAAAATCATAAAACTTCTATATTTTTTTTTGGCTGTAAATATATAGATAGTGTGAATATTAAAGTCAGTGTTATTTAAGGAAGAGGTCAGCAGGAAAATACATTATAAAGCAAATGATAAAAGCTAAGGCTTGAAATGCAAGGCTTTTTTCAGATCATTTCTTGTAAAGGCTTCATGTGGAGACAAAAGTTAAGGACTGGTAAGGAACACATGCTAAAGCTGGAATATAACTCTTCCAATTCATGGTTTAACCTGTACCATGGCAGTTTAGTAGAGAGACCCCTATTCAAGTAAGAGACTCAATAGTGAAAGTGATAGCTGCTCTTTACCATTTTATAGTGCTGTAAGGTCACAGAGGCTATGATCTTCCCTGTGAATGACTCTATCACAGTGCATCAACTTCATTATCACAGCACCATCATATATATATATATAGTAACTTTTTTCGTTAATCATATAAACAGATGAGGCAGTAGTTTATAGGATTTAATAACTAAGAGTTGCAACTGATACATTTCCATTGCACACAAATAAATCTTCTATTAGAAGATTAGTTCTATTAGGAAACGCCAATATTTGTTCCAGATTTTCTGCATGATCTCGCTTTTTTTTTTTTCTGTATATGATTCTACTTTTTTTTTTTTAATAAATTGTAATGTACTTAAAATTTCCCTATCCCAAACCTTTCATTTGGCATGTAAAGATCTGACAGTTTTTACAATGATTGAAACAGTGGTAAATTTACACGCTACAACTCAAAGAGCTCAGAAAAAAAAAAGTATGGAAAGTGATATGACTGTGTATACAGTTGTATTCAAAATAATAGCAGTCAGACATCACTAACCTGATCAATCACTGTTTTTGGTAGAAATGATATTTCTAAATGGCAAATAATTTACTAGCAGGTGTAGTAGAGTAATAGAAATCCAACAGACCCAACAGTCATGACATGCATGCTGCTGATTCTGTGTAACTGAATCACTAATTGAAAGGGGCATGTTCAAAATAATAGGAGTGTGGAGTTCTGTTAGTGAGGTCATTCATTCTTTGAAAAACAGGTGGCAATTATTGCCCTTATTTAAGGAAGGAAGGCTGCAAATGTTGTAAATGCTGGTTACAGTGCATTTCTCTCTGAAATTCTGAGGAAAATGGGTCGTTCCAGACATTGTTCAGAAGAACAGCGTACCTTGATTAAAAAGTTGATTGGAGAAGGGAGAACATATAAAGAAGTGCAGAAAATGATAGGCTGCTCAGTTAAAATGATCGCAAATGCTTTAAAATGGCAACCAAAACCTGAAAGACGTGGAAGAAAGTGAAAAACTACCATTCGAATGGATAGAAGAATAGCCAAAATGGCAAGGACTCAGCCAACAATCAGCTCCAGGAAGATCAAAGAAGGTCTAAAGTTACCTGTGAGTACTGTTACAATTAGAAGACGCCTATGTGAAGCCAAGCTATCTGCAAGAAGCCCCCGCAAAGTCCCACTGTTGAAAAAAAGACATGTGCTGAAGAGGTTACAATTTGCCAAAGAGCACATTGACTGGCCTAAAGAGAAATGGCTGAACATTTTGTGGACTAATGAAAGTAAGATTGTTCTTTTTGGGTCTAGTGGCCGGAGACAGTTTGTCAGACGACCCCCAAACACTGAATTCAAGCCACAGTACACTGTGAAGACAGTGAAGCATGGTGGTGCAAGCATCATGATATGGGGATGTTTCTCATACTACGGTGTTGGGCCTATTTATCGCATACCAGGGATCATGGATCAGTTTGAATACATCAGAATACTTGAAGAGGTCATGCTGCCTTATGCTGAAGAGGAAATGCCCTTGAAATGGGGGTGTTCCAACAAGACAACGACCTCAAACTCACCAGTAAACGTGCAACATCTTGGTTCCAGACCAACAAGATTGACGTTATGGAGTGGCCAGCCCAATCCACGGATCTTAATCCAACAGAAAACTTGTGGGGTGACATCAAAAATGCAGTTTTCTGAGGCAAAACCAAGAAATAGAGAAGAACTGTAGAATGTAGTCCAATCTTCCTGGGCTGGAATACCTGTTCACAGGTGCCAGAAGTTGGGTGACTCCATGCAACACAGATGTACAGCAGTTCTCAGAAACAGTGTTTATATACAACTAAATATTAATTAACCGCTTGCCGCCCTGCCACTGTGTATATACGTGTGCAGGGCGGCAGTGGAGCGCAAAACCACGTTTTAAAACGGGTTCCGCACTCCCGACACTTTCGCCGGCAGGCGGCGCGCGCGCGTGCTCCCCGCCGACCCGCGGGTGACACGATTTGATCCAGGAGGGATCAATCATTAGATTTCAGCCAGTGATTTCTGGCTGAAATCACATGATCGGTTCCTGTCCTATCCTGTCCTGTGTTGACAAATACACAGGGCAGGATATGATGTCATTCTTCTCTGCCTGGACACATTCCGTTCCAGACAGAGAAGAAGACATCCAAAAAGTGAGTACACAAGCACTACACTACAGTTAGAACACTCTAGGACACATTTAACCCCCTGATCGCCCCCCCCCCAGTTAACCCCTTCACTGCCCTGTCACCAGTGTCACTGATCAGTGAAGCGATTTTTACTGATCAGTGTCGCTGGCGACTTCCAATAGAGTTAGCGCCCCTCCCAGATAGCGCCAGATTGCCCGCCAGTACACCAGTAATCCCGTTTAAAACCCCTTGATCGCCCCCCCCCCCAGTTAACCCCTTCACTGCCCTGTCACCAGTGTCACTGATCAGTGAACCAATTTTTACTGATCACTGTATCAGTGTCGCTGGCGACTTCCGATAGAGTTAGCGCCCCTCCCAGATAGCGCCAGTTTGCCCGCCAGTACACCAGTAATCCCGTTTAACCCCTTGATCGCCCCCCCCCAGTTAACCCCTTCACTGCCCTGTCACCAGTGTCACTGATCAGTGAAGCGATTTTTACTGATCACTGTATCAGTGTCGCTGGCGACTTCCGATAGAGTTAATGCCCCTCCCAGATAGCGCCAGTTTGCCCGCCAGTACACCAGTAATCCTGTTTAACCCCTTGATCGCCCCCCCCCAGTTAACCCCTTCACTGCCCTGTCACCAGTGTCACTGATCAGTGAACCAATTTTTACTGATCACTGCATCAGTGTCGCTGGCGACTTCCGATAGTGTTAGCGCCCCTCCCAGATAGCGCCAGATTGCCCGCTAGTACACCAGTAATTCCCGTTTAACCCCTTTAATCTCCCCCCCCCAGTTAACCCCTTCACTGCCCTGTCACCAGTGTCACTGATCAGTGAACCGATTTTTACTGATCACTGTATCAGTGTCGCTGGCGACTTCCGATAGTGTTAGCGCCCCTCCCAGATAGCGCCAGAT